ACTGTGCCATAAGATAAGGCCCAGGGGACAGAGGCTGAGCAGAATGGGCCCCAATGCCAGCCCAGCACCCCTGTTCAGCAAGATTGTGAAGCTGAGTGAAGAGCAGCACCCAGGGACCCTCAACAGACTTGGGATCAGACACCCACCTGTGAAGAAACACCTGAGCTGCTGCCGCTTGCTGCTCCCAACCGTGAGTGAGGTTATGCAGGTGAGTCAAAGGGACATCCCTGCCAGACCAGGCTTCCCAGGGAGTGAAATGGACTGCTACCAGGGAGGGCCCCTGCCTGGGAGTCTTCTTACAGCTCTGTTCTCTTGTGTCCCCCCATGTTTGGACTGTGCCCCTTTCCCATAATAAAGTTTCTCTGTTTGTATGCAGTCTGGGCATGCATGTGAGTGGGCACTCAAGCTGATTCAGTTGTTTGCCAACCATTGTTCAGCCAAAACATCTCAGCTGTGTTTAAGGAGAGGGCGAGGGGGACTATGGTTGACCCACCTGAGCTCTGGTGTCTTTAAAAAGCTCTACTTGGACCCTGCCTTGTAAGCAGAAACTTGGCAGCCAGTGGTCTTGGTGTCAGGGATGGGTCTTTTGCCAGCCCCTGAAGATCTGTCCAGGCTTATCCACACCGCAAGCCTTTGGAGAGTCACAGCCGCACCTGCTCAGGGACCCACAGAGTTAGTAGCTAATATTCTACCCACACCAGTGGCAGGCTGCCACTTGGAGCAAAACAGGACTTTCCTTGCCATCATAGCACTGGGCCCCAGAAATGAGAGCAGGGCGTTGTTCTCACCTGTGCACTCAGCACCTGGATCCTGTCGCTGACCCCGCCACAGAATCCCTGTATGATGCTGGGCAAGTCCTTTGAACCAAACTTCCCACAGGTGGTCGCTGTACTCTCGCTCACTGGGCACCACTGTGATGCCCAGGGGGTCTGGTTCACAGAAGTGCTGAGGACAATTGAAGTGAATGGGAGCCGGCTTTGGACCAAGGAGGCTAGCTAACTACCCATTTTCTGAGAAAGCAGGTCCCAGGTGTCTCCACTTGGACACCCCATATAAGTGGAAAATTCTGATCTTTATATACCTGGGTCTCAGCTCCTGACCTCTAGAACTGGGCTATAGCTTTAGAGGGGGTGTCTGTTCCCCGGCAGTAAAGCATCCAGAGGCTGTAGCCATGAGCTCCACTGAGCAGCGTGTGAGGAAAAGAGTAATCTGGCCTCAGCACGGGGTTTGAACAATGTGCAGTGACTAAGCTCCTGGGCCCCATGCTTATCCGTGAGGGTGTCTCAGCCCTGACCCGTTGCTCTGTGAGCATGCACAGTCTATCTTGTGTACTGGGGCCCTACCCCTCTATGCCGCTGAGATCCCCACCTGAAAGGCAGTGGCAGACCCCACTAGCCAGACTTGGGGCGCACTGGCTGGCTGCATCTCTGCAGACGAGATGGCAGCTTTGCAGCACTAAGCACATTCCCCTTGGCGCCAGCAGTAGCAGCTGCAAGCCTCTGCTCCTCAGGGGAATGGGCCAAACCCAGCAGCACAGCAGCAGTAAATAGCTCATCATCAATCACGGCTCAGCCCAGGTTACCTGTACAGCCTCTTTGTGAGGGATGCATGGCCTGGGGAAGGGCAGGAGGGGACTCCCTCTGCTTCTTAGCCCCCGTTATGAGGGGAAGTGCATTCCCTCCTGCTCCTGCCATGCTGAGGTTGCATGGCCTGAAGACACTCTGGTGAAGGGGGAGCCACTCATTTGCAGGCTGCATAGCCCCGTGTTGTGTCCCTTGGTGCCCTAGACAGGGCTATGATAAATGGAGCCTGCGTTTAGGAAACGCTTTTGTACCCAAAGAGCTCCCCAGGCACAGATGCGAGAGAGAGAGTTGTAATCCCAGTGCAAATGGCCAGAGATCTCAGCTTTGTATTTCCCTGAATTGAGCAGCAAATGAACACTAGTGTCTTTTGTGCCATGTCCTACTACAGCACTACATCCCTGACTGGAGACCAAAGTGGGCTGAAGAGAGGTGTCAAGAGAGCTCAGTCCCTGTTTTGCTACTGTTTCCCTATGAGACAAGTTCAGGCCCAGTACAGGCACCAGAGTAACCTGTGTCCCCTCCTGGGGGTGCCAGGTATGGCCTGTACCGCAGCTCCCTTGGAAGTGCCTGTCCTCTGTTAGCACCTGCCCTTGCTTGCTGCCAGAGATCTGTGTCCAGGCCACAGAGACAGAAAACAACTAAGCAGCACAGCATGGATGGGAGAAAGGTCATCAGCTACGTGCTTTACACTGTTGCTCCCTGTGAGGCACGGGAGCATCACCAGGGCCCCCAGGCAGGGGACACAGGATCTGCCTAGACCCCACATGTACACCGATCACCCCCCATTGGTGCTCCGTGTGCATGGGCAGGAAAGGAGAGATGCCTGGTGGCACCAGGAAGCTGGGGCTGGGTGTGCGTGAGAAAGAGCAGGAGACAGGTTTGGGGGGTTGTTTGTGTTCCTGTGTGGGCAGGGCAGGCGAGTGGGTGTTGTCCCTCTGTGTGTGCGAAGGCGAGGGTGTGTTGTTCCTGTGTGGGGAAGGGTATGTTTGTGTGAGAGAAAGGAAGAGGGGGGTCATGCGCCCTGTGTTTGGGCAGGGCTGGAGGGTGTCGTGGGGGAGGCAGCTGCTCTTGGGCAGGGAGGTGTTGAGGTGGAGGCGAAGGAGCCCTTGCTGTGGGTGGGTGGGAGCAGGAGGGACATGTAGGAGGCTGTGCCTCCCCAGGCTGAGGGTGAGGGGTGCTGTGCATGTGGGGAGGGAAATGTGCCTTGGGGAGGGTGGAGGCGTGTGGGTCTGTACATACTGCCGTGTGCCCTTGCCCAAGCCAACAGCAGTGCACTCAGTGTCCTGGTGAGCTCTGTCCTGTTCCCATGCGGGTGCAGTCCGGGGAGAGCCCAGCCCTGCCACCCAGCTCCAGACCAAGCTAGTTGCTAGGTAGAAGAGAGAAGATTTATGTCCTCAGCTCCTCCTAGGGACATACGCGTGGCTGTCCTTTCTGGGCGATTAGCCCGGCGTTAGCAGCAGCCCCTCTCTGGGACCACGGCTCAGCACAGCATGGAGGATGGATTTCTCGGATCTAACCCAGGCATCCTGCACCCTGGCAATGACACAGGGGCTTTGGGGAGACAGAGGGTCGGTGCCTCCAAACCACAGACCAGCGTCACATGTGGCCAGTGCAGAAAAGCCCGCATGGGGGAGGGAGCTCTTCCCCCTCCCCAGCAAGAAGCTCTGGCCACAGGAATCCTCTTGTTAGCTCTTCCCCCGCTTCAACTGTCTGCCTCCCTGGAAGCCTTGCCTCCCATCCTGGAAACACTGCTCCAGGCCCTGAGACACCTGCTCATGCTATGATCACTGCTTCCCTGGGTAGCTGCCCATAAGATGCTACTTACAGCTTTAATGAGCACCAGCTGGGTTGCTGAGCAAGAGACAATCCAGCAAGTCCTGCAGACAGGCAGGCGTGGCTGGCAGGAGCCTGGTTCTGCAGCATCAAGCCCTCAGGTGAGGGCCCAGACAGAACCCACCAACCCTCACCACTTCCAGACCTGGCTACAGGGAGGAATGGAGATTAATGCCAACCCCAGCGAACTGCTAGGCCCCTGGTGCTGCTGGGCACAGGTAAGGCATGGATTAAACATGGGATTTAGCCCCTCTTCAGGAGTGATCAGGACCTGGGTCTATGAACTCCCAGCAATGGGAGGGATTATTGGGAGGCTGTGCCTGGCTGATTCCCTTTACATTCCTTAATTCTAGGGGTGCCAATAGACATGGGGATGGTGTGGAAAGGCTGCAGTAGCAAAGCCCTTTCTGTCATCATGAATAATACAACACCAGCACTGCCTAGCTGGATTCATTGCAGGTAACACACTGCTGCTGTTTGACCTGGCGAGTGTTTGCCGCCATCCCCCTAGGAGAGACTCTGTGTGACCCATTGCTTAGCATTGACTGCTGTGGTCAGGACTGAGGCTCACTGGTTCAAGGGGATGAATGCTCCCAGTTAAAGTCACACTGATACCAGTTTAACTGCACCTAGTTTGGGGCCTGTTCTTGTTACTTCAGTCTAAAAATCCCACCTCTACCAGTACAAAAACCAGTGCATGAACCCAATGGCATGGCTGTACCACAGTGGGGAATGCAGACACACCCAGGCTAGCTTTCAGTGAGCCAGTGCAGCCAGTGGAAGAAGCCCAGGCACAGTGGCACAGAGCTCAGTGGGGGCAGGACTTACCTATGCAGTCATCTGACAGTCACCCTGCACAGACCTCCGTGCTGCTGCGGACAGACTGCTCCAAGCATCTGAGCAAGCTAGATCAAGCAGCATAGGCAGATATGAAGAGGCATTGACTGTCCCGGGGGGGCATCTACATGTGCATTAATGCACTTTAGTGAATGCACATTAAATCTAGTACTTTGCTAGTACTCCATTGTGAGGTACTGTACTAGGAAAATGCGCATTAGCCTGACTTAATGCACATTAACTAAAGTGAACACTTTTTACGTGCTGCTTAATGTGCATTAGCCTATTTTAACGTGCATTAAGTAAAAAGCATGTTTTTTTATGTGATGCTTTAATGCACATTAAAATAGGCTACTGAACATTAAAGTGCACATGCAGACATGCCCAGGAGGGAGCTTAAATGAAGCAAAGCCTGAGAAACCGGGAAAGTGACTTGCCAGAGATGACAGTATATTAGTGGCAGAGTCAGGAACTAACCCAGATCTGAGTCCCAAGCCAGCGCCCTGGGCACCGACCTGACAAGAAGATGGTGTGCTTTGCTGAATGACACTTCTTGGTTCCAATGAAGTCTTACGGGGCTAATGCAGAAGGAATTTAGGCCAGAGATAGGGAATTAAATGCTCCTTTCTCCCTTCCTTCGTGCCCTGATTCTTGCTTGCAAAGGACCCTTGAACCAGCATGGGAGTGCAGAAATGAGATGATCCCTTAGCCTTCAAGGCAATGAAGAGGCTGCATCAGGTACTTCTGGATTGCACATTTATTTAATAAGTTGTAAAGACACCAACACATGCCGAGCATGAAAGAGGCGATTCAAACAAAGGAAATTACAAAGCCCTTAAGGATGCCCAGAGAGGCCCTGTACAGAGACCAAGCCATCTTCAGGAGTTCGATCCCAAAGAGCCACCTGGAGCCCACAGCTCCCAGCATGCCTTGTTCCCCTTTGATCCCAGGAGCATAAGCTCAGAGTGTGAGATGCTGGGAACCGGGGTCTCCACAGACCACCTCTCAGTGTCCAAGACACCCAGCTACAATCTCCTCCATTTTGATTAAACCAGGCAGCTGTTGCTCTCCCACTGGGTTCCCCAAGTAGATGCTCCCCACATTAACTGGCTCCCCTGGCTAGGGAGAACCAGTAGGCCAGGCTGGGCGCATTTGCAGAGCAGTTCCCATGCAGACTCCCCAAGTGGAGTGAGGCCCTTGGTAAAGCCATTTGCCTGCTATTGCTGCAAAGGTGGGGACAGCAACCCCCCCCACCAGGCGAGAGGGGCATTCTCTGGGTACTGGGGAGGTGCTGATGACCCACAGAGGTTGCCCTGAGGCATGAAGGGATGCTACATTCAAGCCCTACCTCCCTCCTTGTTCACTACTGACCCCCCTCCCTTGACCTGCCAGCCTCCATATAACAAAAGGGCTATCGGAAGACCCATCTGCTCATGTGAAGCGATGGAGGTGCAGGGGCTGTTGGGTTCGTTGCAGGCTCCTGGTCCAGCATTTGGCCTGCGCGCTAGGCAGAAGCTGTGCTGATGGGCTCCCCTGACACCGGGTGCCACCTCCTGACACAAACCACTTAGCTAGATGAGACCTCATGCAGGACATGAACCAATGGGCTTTCCTGCTCAGGGGCAGAGACTGGTGGGTCAAGAAGAAAGACTCCTCCCTACCACATTGCTACCCCAGGCTTGGCCCCATCATCATCAAGGAGAAGGAATAAAGCAGTCTGCAGACACACACACCTTTTGTGCCCTCACACCTCTGCCCCATTTCTCTCTCTCCCCCCTCCCCCCACACACTTTCTCACCCCCCTGCATTTCCCTTCTCAGATCCTGCCTAGCTCCTCTCACCACCCTCCCATTCCCCCTCCATGCCTTCTCCACTTGATTCTATCACCAGCATGGGCCTTATCCCAGCCCTCCACCCACCAAGCTGTACTGACCAGTGGCGCTGGGCTGTGAGCTCTAGTGAGCCCCCAGTGGCATGCCCAGCCTCAGAAGAGCTGTGGAGCTGAGGCTATGGGGGCTGGCTGTGCCCCAGACATCAGATCAGGTTCTAGGGCAGACTGGCCACCCCCTCATGACCCCGGAACACCAGGGGTTGGGGGTGGGGGCTGTTTGGGGCTGGCTTCTTCCCCTCCAGCAGTAACAAAGCAGGTGCTCTCCTGGGTGGCAAGGACAACATGTACCCTTTCATGGTACCTTCTCTTATTGCCCTGACAGGTTGCTGGGCCAGTAGCACTCAGGGGATGTGTGTGTGCGCGCGCGCGTGCATGCATACATGCATCCAGTTTGTGTGCACACGATGTGATTATATCAGAGGGATATCTCCATATGCAAAGTGTGCACAGCAGTGTGCGCTGGGGGGAGGGGTGTTTGGGATGGTATTTGCATGTGCAGTATGCATGAAGAGGTGCACGTGTGTGTGCATATACACATGGCAGACGTGGAGGAGCAGTTATATATGAACGTGTCAGAGGATGTATGGTGCTTGTGTGCACAATATATGTAAAGGGATGTATGCATGTGTGTCTGTTCACAGTGCATAAGTGGTTTTGCCTGTGTGGTGTGCATATGTTCATATGTGTTTCTACATGCACTGATGCATGTGGTCAGAGCATCTGTGTGCATACATGGTATGTGCATGTGTATTCCACGAGCTGCTCTCTGTCCCCAGGACAGGCCTTTTTCTATGTTCCCCCAAAGCCGCACTGTCCCAGCTGAGTTCTGAATAGGAGGCCTGGTGCATACTTGGGTTCTGCAGGCCTGTCAGACAGAGGGTACCATGGTGCGGGAGCTGTTAAGCATCCCCAGACATTGCCAGAGCACAGGCCAGTGCTGGCTTGACTGCCTCTCCAGCATGGCACTGTGTGCATGACCCATACTTCCCTGCAGAACCCTGCATCCACCTGGAAGGGGGACCTGTCACTTTGGGTGCAGGTCCTGGTCACAGCTGCCACTGAGGACATGAACTGGTTGCTGCAAGGTCAGGAGCACATAGTCCTCACAGTCACCATGGCATTGCTTTGGTACCTCATTGCAGCCTCAGATTTCCCTCTGAGGGAGTGGAGACTTACAGCCAGCTCAGAGTGGCCAAGACAGCCACTACAACAACCACAAACAGAGGTCAGGCAGCACCAAGAGGTGGCCTGTCCCTGGGCTGAGGGACATTTGGCTTGGGAGTGTGCCCTAGGCAAGGAAGGGCCCAGTGCCTTCTGGGGACAAGGGAAAGAAAGGAAATTTCTGTGGAGAGATTGGGAATGCAAAACTGGAGTGGGGGGGGAGGGGCATAGACAGACATACACATACCCTGATGTAACTCACATCACTTGTATACCCATGTAAATGACACTGGGATAAGGAGTAGACAGAAGGGCAGCTATCATACAATAACTCAGACAGTAGGAACTATTACAGCACCTTGCGATTCATGGCAGGGGAGCAGGTAATAGCCTATCTGCCTTGAGCAAAGAGCTACCCCAGGACAGGCCCAAACAGATGACATATACATAAGTGTCACTTATACCAGGAAAGATTTACCCCCAATTCTTTTGGAGATAATTCTCCACCAGTGAAATACAAGTTACACTGCTGTAAATGTGCCATCTCTCCCATCCAGATAGAAGTAACAGGTATGAGGGCACGTGTGTGAGACCAGGTGATAAATAGGATGTGTTTGTGCCTGGGAGAGGATGTGCAAGACACAGTGAGTGTAGCAGCAAGACCATGCATGAAGGCGGTCAAGGGAGGAAGCAAGGCAGTGTATGCGAGGTGCTGTGTCTGGGTGTGTACATGCTGCTACTGCTTTGTACAGTCAACAGGCTGTGTGAGAGCAGGTTGTGTGCATGTGCTGGTGTTTGCCTGACAGGGAGGAGACCTACAGAGCACAGCTTGGCCTGCAAATAAGAGCCTTCTGCTGCTTCTGGCATTCCAGGGAAACCTGCCCACAGACAGCTCCCTCCTGCTGGGAAGGGGTGGAGGTGCCCCAGGCTGGAACACCGAGCAGGACACTTGGTTATCAACCCAGGAGCAGAGAAAGATGGGAGCTTCCAGCTCCCTTTAAGCCCCTGTCTAGACGCAGAAGCCTGGCACTAGATATTGGCTCAGCCCTAGCCCCCTCAGACAGCCCTTTGTTAGACCCCAGTGCCTGGCACTGGTGGGAGAGGCAGGGGACTGCTTCTGTTAACAGCCACAAGAACAGCCCTGCCAGGAGGACAAAAAAGGGACCACAGCAAGGAAACAGAGCCTCAGCTTGTGTTCATGTCTTTCAGGCCAGCTTTTCCTCTGGCTCTGCCTCAGCACTCCCCCACCCTTCTTCACATCACTCTCCTGCAGATGCATGTCCAAGCACCATTGCACGCGCACACCACCCCCCCATCCAGAAAGAGCTAAAGAGGCACTGCGCTCTGCGTCTGCCCAAATGCCACAGGGACACCCTCCCCTCCACTCCCAGATGCCATTCTCCTCTCCCTCCACCTCCCTCTAGCTGTTTGTGTAGGCTCCAGCCCAGCAGGGCAGCTTGGCAAGACATGGAACCTTGTGTACGGACTGCAGGCAAGTGCGGTGTGGGGGAGCCACATGGGTGCGCTGTGGCCATTAGCCAATCAAAAGGAACGGGGAATTTTAAAGGGCTGTCATCAGCCTGTCTACACAGCAAACGTCACGCTCCCTCCCCATTGCAGCCCTAGAATGGCAGCAGGTCCATAATAACACTTAGTACTACTTACATGCCACTTTTAATATGGGAGCTCAAAGCACTTAAATAGGAAGGGCAGATTCATCCCCACTTTTGCAGCATGGAAAACTGGCACAGTGAGGTGAAGCAACTCACCCAGCGAGTCCATGGCTAAGCCAGGGCTAGACCCCAGGGCCCCTGACCAACTCTCCCCTGCATGTATCAAAGCCTCACCCACCATTAAACAATCATCACCATATTGGCACCATGCCATCTGTCACAGTGTATGTGCTCCCCTGGGCATCCCTTTAAATCCTCAGCAGTAAAAACCAAAAGGGCCAGTGAATGCATCTGTCACTCACCAATGACAGAAGCTGGGCTGGCTGTTGATTGCTGTTCTGCTGCCCTCTCTCAAAGAGGAAGGGAACTGCTTCTGCATGGTTTCCATGAAGGGCTGTTAGGTGTTTAACATGTGGTACACAGGGCTTGGCTGGCTGGTGTACACACAGTGCAGAGTGCAATTATTGACCCTGCCGGTTTGTGTCAGCTCTGTTGATTTCAGAAACTTCAATACACAAGGGAATGGAGGGGGTACTAAGCAGAGGACTAGGAGATCTAACAGTGGGCCAGACTGAGTTCAGTCCAATAAAGCATAATCCCTTCCAAATCAACCACTGCAGGAGCAGAACCAATCAGCCTTCCTTTCTCCACCTGTGCCCAATGGTTCAGTTGGATGAAGTTCCAACTCCCTGCCAAATTCCCAAGTCCAGGTCCCTATCCCCACTTTGTCCTTCAGAGGCAGCAATGACCGCAGGGGGGAAACAAAACGACTGAGAGGAAATTATGCCAGGGGATACAGCAGGGGGTTCACCCAGACAATGATGGCACAGACCAGACATGACAGATGGTGGCAGTGGTGGTGCAGGAGAGACCTGAAGGTGCCCTGTTGGTTGTGTATATGTGTTCTATTATATATAATATAATGTACAGGATAATCTTAGAGATATATACGATGCGTGTGTGTGTGCGTGTGCGCGCGTGTGTGTGTGTGTGTGTGTGTGTGTGTGTGTGTGTGCGTGTACAATCAAGGCAGAGGGTGTCCTATAACAGGAAAAGTCTCACAGATCACAAGAGTATTATAAAAATAATAACCACCCCACTTTTGGTCACTCACGTGACTCCTGCCTTCAGCCTGCTGCTCCTTGATCAGGAGGCTCTGGGAGGGGAGGGCACAGTATTGGTTATATAGAGGCAGAGGGGCAGACAGTGCTGGCTGGAGGATGACGGGCAGTTCTGGGGTGCTCCTCAGCCCCCCTCTCCCCTCCCCAGCATTGTGGTATGGAGGTTGATCAAGGTTGAGGCAGCAGAAGCAGAGGGAGAGCTCTGGGAAGGTGAGGCAGGCTCTTGGTCGTGATGGTGGACGGATACACAGACACACGCACGCACACGCAGGCAGGCAGGGGGTTGTGCTGCCACAGAGCACGCTGGCAAGGGATGGGGCAGGACAGGCCATCCTGCTCAGTCCTTCAGGTTGGCCTCTGAGACCCCCTGTGCCATGAGCTCAGCCAGGACATTGTCCAGGTAGTTGGGGTCAGGGTAGCCGTGCCCGGTGAGGTTGGACCCAAACTCTGTCTTGTGGTGGATCTCATTCCAGACCACAGTGTCGGACTCGCCTGTTGTGTTGGACGTGCCAATAGTGAAGATGAGCCGCCGGTCCCAGGCCACAATGAGGAGCTTCAGCACCTGCAGAGATGGGGGAAGGTGACATAACTGCAGGGCAGAGGCCCACCTCAGCCTGCCAACACAAGTCAAGCACCTCCTGGCTTGGCAGGATTCCCTCAGAACCCAGCTATTCTCCCTCAGGGCCCAGCTGGTCCTCTCCAAGCAGGTGTTTGTTCTTTCCCCTGCCTGGCCATGGCACCACAGGGAACATCATAGGGGGTTGCTCCCTGCTTGGTAGGGGCAGATCTTCCTCAGGACATTTCTAGTGCTTGAGAAGCATCTGTGCCACATCACAGCGGGTTTGACCCAGAGGAACAAGTACCTCTGCTAGGGAATGGCACCAGGACAAGAGCTCACACTGAGCATCCTCTGGAGCAGTGGACTCCAAATACAGTGCTTCCTTATGCAGGAGCATGGATACAACCCCTGCCTCAAGTCCTCTCCATGACATGGAGCTGAGGCCCCTGCCCTGAGCTCTCTCCTTGTCTGGCACATTCTCAGAGTCCTCTAGGCCCAGATCCAGGTAAAGACAGTGTTACCAAGGTGCCAAATGGCCAGATCCTGCACAGCCCTGATGTGATTTCTGTGAAGGGGGGGCTTGACACCTTGCAAGACCAAGCCTGAAGTTGAGGGCAAGAGGTCTGACACTCTGCCCCCTGGAAAGACCAGCCCAGGCAGGGGTTACGGAGGGGCTTCCATGACAGGAGCCTTCCCAGCATTCACATTGCATATGTGAGTTATATAGCTCCACGTGCCAGCTGCTGGGTTCAGGGACGCATTGTGAGGTTTCCACAGCAGCTCTGCCAACCCCTTTACCTGCTGCACAACAAGAACCACATGCACTACAGAGGCTGTCAATCTCCACATAATAATTCCCCCATGTACCTCCTGAAGAGCGGGCTGGCTCTACATGAGGTTGCTATGCTGAAGAGGGAGGGAGCCACCCTCTGCAGAAGCCCACTCACCTTCCTGCCTCTCTCATTGTCGGGAAGGTAGCAGTGCCGTGGGAAGCCTCGTGCCGTGAACTTCTTCCCGGGGTTTGGGTGCTCTGGGCCCTGGCAGGGAACAAAGCAAGTCCTGCCATTTATACCACATCAAACCCAAAGGCAGCCCACCCATTCACCACCCCTCAAGCATGCTGCTTATGGGCACCAGCCACCAGAAGAGGCCAGGAGTGAGATTCATTAGCTAGCTATGACTTTGGGGCACAATGAGGACAGAAAGGCTGAGTAAGATCCTAGAACAGAGCCACTGAATGGGAGTCTCCCTGGCACAGATTAGGCATACAGGTGATGGGGTCTGCCACAGACCCACTGGTATGTCTACTGGGTGTTGAGTCTGGGGTATCACCCTGGCAGCCACTGGCAGAAACCCTGGCCTCTCATCAGTTGGTTTCATGGTTAAGAGCAATGAATTATGTTCAGCCCTATGGAGAATCTGCATAGAAGAGGGCAGTTCCCTGCTGGTCTGGCCTCACCCCTTCTACAGAGGAAGTTCCAATGGGAAACCCAGGAAAGCAGCGGTTCCTGGGCAGCTCACCTGGATCCCAGTGGGGATGTCATAGACAATGCGGATGGTTTTGCAGTCTGTGTAGCCCGGCAGTGAGTGGGGGATGATGTGGAACTCCATCTTCCCAGGGGGCTGGGTCCCGGTCTTCTCCCCATAGATAGCCTTACAGGTTGGGCACTGCAGACTGCCATCCTGGATGCACAGGGGAGGTGGTGAAAGCAAAGGGGGAGAAACATTACCCACCCAGACAGAGACCTTCCCTGCCTCAGAAGGGACACGTGGAACATGCCTTTGGGCCCAGAGAACAGTTGCTCACACATACCCCATCCCAGCTGTGGAAACAGACAACAGAGTCACTGCCCAGTGTGGATACCTCCATGGCAGCAGTCACACTTCCCGGGATGCCAACTTCCCCCCATGGGGGCTGTTCATAGATCAGGGCCAAACTCAGCCAGAGTGTGTGTTTGTTGAGCTGGTGTGAGCTTGTTGGGCTGTGCCAGGAATGGTCTGACCCACTACCTCCACTACAGGCCCAGTTCTGACTGGGAGAGACCCAGTGGGTTGGGGTGGGTGGGTGCAGTGACCAGGGAGGGGGAAGATCTGGAAATCAGGCTGGGCCTCAGATGGCCCTTTCATGTCACAATCATGTCCACTACCCACCAGGCCTCTCTCAGGGCAGGGTAGTGGCTCTGGTCCTCTGTGGCACTCACCTTGTTGCCATTGTTGTACATGGCGACCAGACAGAGCAGGTGATACATGTGCCCACACTTGCCCAGCTTGCCCACCAGCTCTGGCTTCACTCCCTTGTGACTGAGGACGCCCTCATAGCCGGACGAAGTGACCAGCCTCTCCATGCAGATGGTGCAGTCCTGCCAGGCAGACAGGATGGTGATCAATGCACAGAAAAAGCTCCAACCAGCCCATGGGCTTCACAGAGGCAGGCTGGGCCCAGTGCTTTTCCCCTGCCCCTGTCCCTGCCCCTGCCCCCGCCCCCAACCCTCTGCCCTTACCCTGCTGGCAGTTTTGCATCAGCTCCCTCTGGCCTGAGGGGCACCAGGCATCTGATTTCAGGCTACAATGGCTTCCCTGCCTCTGGAGACAGCTCCTTGGTCTGGCAAATCTGCCATTCACCTGGCCTGTCTCCCTCAATATCTATCTGCTTCTCCCAGTGTCCTTCCTCTCTTCCATTCATCCTCTCCCAATCCAGCTTTCTCTTTCCCTTTGGCCTCTCTCCATACACCTTCCCTTCCCTCTCCTAACACCTCCTTATCTCATAGCTGCAGCCCTGGCAGGGACCATTCAAGATGAGCAGCTACCTTTAACCTCATCTTGAATAGCATCAAGGAACTATCCATGTCTGCTGTAGCAAGCTCCCTGACTGGTCCAGGGACAGGACCACAGACAGAAATCCTGAACAGAGAGCAGAAGTCTCCAATTCCTCTTGTTCCAGCTGCACTACCTCTGCTTGCTTTGGGGCCACTGCACAGGGGTGCAAACAAAGTTAACACCCAGCTGGCCCTGGTTACCTGAGTGGGCCTGACTGCTAGATGCCTAACTACTTTCAGCGGTCCCAGTTGCCTGCATGGGTGCAGCTGCCTTCTTAGGCTTATAAGCATGCCTCTCTGGCTAGTCTTGGGTTGCTGACTTCTTGTTCTTGCCTGTTGGTTCCTAGGCTTCACCCTGCCTTCTGAACTCTTGTTCCAGACTTTACTCCAGACCCTTGTTTTCTGATAGCTGGCCCCTGGCTTGTGGCTTTAGTTTGGCAACTGTCCATGTTCTGGTCCTGGATGATTACAGCTGCCTGCTCTGGACCCCCAAGCTAGTGACTCCAGTCTGGATCCCTGCCTTCTGTTCCTATGCCCCATGCTTGCGGTTCTATCCAGAGTGATCACCTGTGTCTTGGGCCCTTACAGACCTTGACCTTCTGTCCTGCCTGCTTCTGATCCCCTAATTCCTTTGGGGTCAAGGAGCAGCCCACATCCTAGCTCTACCCCTGGCAAGAAGTGAGAGGCTCAAGTACTTGGCCCTGTGGGGCTGTCAGGTGAAAGAGTGCCCCTACCCACTGGATCCCTCCAACCCTGGTGTCACGCAAGAATGTGGCAGACAGGAATGAAAGCATCTCTCACCGAGGCTCACAGCAAGCCCATGCTGCAAATCCAGGCTCCCATCTCCTCACACACTACCCTGATTAACCTTAACTCTGCCCTAACAGGAATGCAAACCTTATGTTTTCCCATTATATCAAGCATCTAACAGGGACAGTGGCAGGATGGGCAGCATTAGGAAGGTGTGTGCATGACAGGAAGGCTGGTGCTCAGTATGGGGGTGCTAGAAGCCTGGCACTTCTTGGGGGCAGTTAAGGGTATAGAGTATGGCAGTGGTTCATGGGGGGGGTATGTGGGAAAGGCTACAATATGGTGGGGTCCTTAGTGGTGCAGCTTCATGCCAGGAGTGTTATGAGTGTAGCTGCCTTCCCTGAGCTTTAGATTGACCCAGGTAGTCATAAGCACTTAGGCTGTCCCTCAGATGAGTTGGATCCAGGTTGCCTTAGGAAACTGTAGAAAACCAAAGTGCCACCATCAACCCTGAGGGCCCTTGATGTGAGCTGGGACCAGGCACTCACCTCATCAGGTGGATTCTTCACCTTCTGGATGTAACGGCGCACCACATCTTCAGGGTTCTTGCCTGCCATGGGGAGAAACACAGTTGGATCACATCTGGAAAGGGCCAGTCTCAGTTTGACTCCAGGCTGGACTGGCCTCTGTCAGGGGGGCAGCAAAAGAGGAGGCTAGGATGGGTGGAAAGAGAACAGGTCTGCCTCATGCCCCTGAGCTGGAAGGAGGAGATGGGATCCTACAGGTCAGGGTTGGGGTATGTCAACCCACCTCTGTGGGATCAGCTGGGGTGTCCTCTATTAACCCTCCCCATCAGCTCTACAGGGTCTGCTGCTGGGCAGTGACCACAGTGACTCCAGGATGGGGTCCCAACCCCGGCCCTGCCTGCTAGGTAGAAGTCAGACATTCTCTCTTTGTGCCAATGGGTTTTATCTCTGGAGAGAATTATGATTCAATTCCCCAGCCAGACTAATGCAGAACTGTGCTCCTAGTAGCTGCATATAGATTACAGCTATGGGGCTGGGATCCCCCAGGACAGGCACTGCAGTGACAGACATAGCCTGAATAAGATGTGGGTCATGCAGTGTAAATTTAACCAAGCTGCTGCTTCCCATCCCCCAGCCTCCCAGCAGCATCACTCAAGTGGACTAAAACCAAGCAAGCAATTTCTTAAAAGCTGCCTTTTTCACCTGCATGTGACTAGCCTCCTGAAACACTTCCTCCCACCGGCTTCCTGGGGCTACTCAGAATCTCCATGATGTCAGTGGCATTCAGCATATATGACTGGTTACCTAGATCACATGGTACAGATGACCTAACCCTAATAAACAGGAACAAGAGCCAGTGGTCCATTGTGGGAAGTAGATTCTCTTGGAGCTCAGGGCATGTACGGGGGGGGAGGTGGTCCACTGCTTGCTGTTATTGGTCTACTGAGCCTTTGATCCCAATGGCAAAGGTCAGTTCATCTTGGTGCCCTAGTGCATTTTGCCATGGACCACAGTGTGAATCCAAAGGGCAAATGCCCTGTAGCCCATGCACTGGGGGGACTAGAATTGGGACTTCCTAGACAACTGCTCTGGGAATCAGTTCAAGAAGCAGTGTCTATGTCTCAGTTTCCCTCTGTAAATTAGGGGTAATATTCCTTCTTCCACCCTTTCTCTACCTTGTCTATTTTGATTGACTAAGTACATGTCTGCCTGGTAGCCATGCTGCTGGGGCCACTAGGATGCTACCTCCGTGCCATGTTGGGGGTGGGTCAATCCACAGCCCCTTTGCTGTGATCTGAGTGTAAGGACATTCTTTACAGAATTTAAGGCCAGAAGGACAATTATATCCTCTGGCCTCCTGGATAGCAGCAGCCACTGAATTTCACCCAACAGTCCTATGTTGAGCCCAATAACTCATGCATAGCTAACATCTCCTCCAGAAAGGCAGCTAGTGGGTGTTTGGAGATAACTCATGATGAAGAATTCACCACTTTCTGTGGAAGCTTGTCCTAATGGCCAATCAACCTGGATGTTACAAAGAGATATGCCTTGCCTCTAGCTAGGAAGTGTCTGGCTTCAGCTTTCAGCCATTGGCTTTTGTTCTGTTTTTTTTCTGCTAGACTAAGCAGCTTGTTAGTGCCTGGCCTTTGCCCCCCAGAACAGTGCTGGTGCACTCTGATCACGTCAATAAACTAAGTGGACAGAGTTCTTTAAGTCTTTCACTGTGGGACACTTTCTTTAAATTATTTTCCTTCTGAAAGAACAGCAGTGCTGGGGGAAATCATTGTAAAGAGATCCTATCAGGGCCTGGTTTGGGGTGCTGCTGTGTCCCCCAGCCAGTTCCCTGAACATAGCCTGTACTTCAAAAAGGAGTTGGGCACTAAGTCCCTTAAAAAGTCAGGGCCAAGAATAGGGGTCTTTCTGGGAAATCAATGGGAACAAAGGGGAAACAGCATTTGGGTATCTGAATCCCTTAATATTTGACAGTGTCAAACTACATGAGGGCCCTTGGATCCCATGGAGCCTTTTCTGCACATAACATCCCACATCCTTTGCTGCCTAGTCCCAGATAGTTGTTTCATGAGGAGTCTCCCAGGTGGCATTGTGACTACATGGCTACAGGACTGGAAAGGGAAGTTCTCTGGCCACCACCCTGGTCTGGGATGGGAGACCCAAGCAAGTGGGTGCAGTGGTTGGTTAACATCTGCATTCAAATCCTACTGAAGCCTGCTAATGCCTCTGGGGTTCTTAGAGGGCTGCTGTCTCTTTTAAAAGGCCCTCATGTAGTTTGACACTGTCTCCCAGATGCTGCTGTGGGGTAAGTAGAGGCTTGTTAGCAGGGCTATGTGAGGAGGATCAGCTGGGCTGGAATAGCAGGGGCAAGCTGTGGGGCTAGAGTGACGTGCTTCTGCAGAGCAGGGTGGAGAAAGCAACCAGGCCTGGCTCCAGTTCTCAGCCCTGGGCTGTCATAAGACTTGCCCTTCAGCCAGGCTTTGCTACAAGCTCCAGGCTGCGTCCCACCCTGTGGAGCCCCAGGGTTGCCTGAGGGCAGGTCAGCCACTGCCTGGGGCCATGTGGAGCAGGGAGGCTGCCTCTTACTCTTTTTGAGGTGTTTCTTCTTGGTTTTCCTGCAGATGCCATTGATCCCAGGCACTGGCTTGATGTCACTCTTGCTCACCGGCGGAGGGTGCAGGATGGGCTTTGGGGCTCGGGTCAGGCACACAGGCAGCCCGGCAGCACACATCAAAATGCCTGTCATCCCTAGGCCATGGTGAGAGAAGCCCAGAGTCAGACAGGGTGAAAATAAATACACTTACAGGGGCACTGTGATTGCCTCCTGAGTTGGCTTTAGCCACACAATCTCCTCATCACACTCCATGTGTAGTGGGGGTACCTCCAGCAGTGAAGCGCTGATTCCCAGGCCTGAAGGGCATACTGGGCTCAGTATGCCCTTCAGGCCAGAGAGCCTGCACTTCACTGCTGGGGGTACCACCCGCTTGGATGGTATGTGATGAGGAGATTGTACCAGCCGTAGCTAAGCCCTCCTCTCTGCTTCCATCCAACCTCACCCACCCCACTCCCACTGGCTCACCCACTCATCTGGTTGGCTTATCTACCTGGACATCTACCAGTTCCAAGCATCATGCTAAATAGGCCCCACCTTACTGGGTGATGTGATGTCTTGCCACTCTTACCTGCCAGTGCAGGGTGGACTGGTCCAGTCCCATTCAGGTTCTTGACTGGGAGGGCAGGAACCCTGAAGCAGAGACAAAAGAAGTTCAGAAAAAGGATTTATCATTCTGGGGGAGCTTCATGGAAGACCTTTGTGTAGAGAGCTAACTGAGGGTGTCTGCCCCTTGGCGAGGCAGGCAGAGAGACCATTTCTTCCTTATATCCTCAGGTCCAGCATTATAGACTCTTGTGCCACTGGTGATGGGCCCACAGCACACATTGTCCCTGATTGTCCCAGCACACATTCCCGGTGCGCTGTAATGGCATTCTGGACTAATCCTGAAATGGGGATACAGTACTGGCTCCACATGCTCCTGTTCAGCTGGCTGCAGTGCCCTGCCCAGCACCCAGCCACGATCAAGTCTCTGGGTAATAGGGAGATGTGGAGTGAGGAGGGAAGCAGGTGGCTCTGGGGTCAGCTGTACCAGCTGATGGACCCACTGACGCCTGAAGCTGGGGATCCTCTGTTGAGTGGGAACCCAGGAATGGAAGCAGAGGGGAGGGTGAGGCTGCAGCACAAATGGCAGAGACAGCAGGACCTCCCCAAAAATTGCCTGAGGGCCAGAGCTCTTAGAGAATCTGTGCACTAGGGCTCCACACTGGGCCAGGGGAGTCTGGAGAGCTGTGACCCCAACCTGCCAAAGTGTAGCAGAGCAGCTCCACACCCGAGGCAGCCATGATGCATGGGCTGGGTGTCACAGTGCCCCTCGCAGCAATGCATCCAGCTGCCACTATGAATGCAGCTATATTTGCACCCCCTCACAAAAACAGCATCTGGCTGGGGTTGCTCCCCCTGTCACCCCCTCAGTTACGCTACTGCCAACCCACAGCCCCTCAGCACAGTTCCTGCTGGGCTGAAAGGTGCTAATGCCATGAGATGCCCTGGGCTTTGCCACAATGCAGCCTGTGCCCATCAGGTGCCTCAGTTTCCTTTCTGCACACTCCCTGCATGTAAGCACTGTGGATGGAAAGGCCCCACTACATGACAACCCCATTGAGGAGTACCTGCCTGCTGATACCTACTTATCTTCTACTAGCCACAGAACACTGCTCCACAGGCCTGATACCCCAGTTAGTAGGCATGTTTCTCACTCTCTCCAGCCCCTTCCTGCTGCCTGTGCCAGGTTCATAGTTTAGGCAAGGTGGGGTAGCTCAGGCTGTAGTCCCTCTGAAAGCATCAGGCTAACAGGCAGTGGCAGGCTAGGCATGGATCTGAGTGAGGCACAGCAGGAGCTCAGTTGGGCATGATGAAGCTGGCAGCAGCTGAGACTGAGAGTCTGACCTCCTGGTGGGTACTAAGTGCTTTCCCAGGTACTTGTTCAATCAAGCCCTGTGCTTGAGCATGTTCAATAGTGCTTAGGCCTCGAGGCTGGGCTGGAAGTCAGTGAGCTTAGTTCTGGTCCCTGTGGTGTCAGCAGGTAAAAGAGCTCCCTGGGCTAGGACTGCCCCTCAGGGCAGGAGATCCCCCATGTTACCTGTGGCCTTGTCATACTGTCATGCACGAGGGAAGAGGAGAGGAGGCATGTTCCTTTGCTCAGAGGGTCTCGTAACCAGCAACAGCAGGACACAAGGCAGAAACATGTGCCCAGACCTCTGGGACTAAGCTAGGAGGGGAGCTTGGGGTCAGCAAAGGTGGGGGAGGCCAGAGCTGGAGAAGCACGTGAGCATTGGCCAGGCTGAGCGGAGGATGGGGGCTGGAAGTGTTTGGGATGCTGCACAGCTGGATAGAGACTTTGGCAAAGCTGGGAGGTGACAGAACCCAGCCAGTGAAAGAGGGACTGGGTGGTAACTCAGAATTGGGGTGCACTGAGAAAGCTGTGTGGAAGGGTTATTTGTCTGGTTCAGTGCTCTGAACATGAGACCTACTATCTCAGTGCCACTGCCCGCTCATATCCCAGGGTCCATCCTACTCTGGCATCCCCTGGTACAGGGCATTTGAATGCAGCTTTCAGTTCCTTCTGCTAGGATCCACAGGTGTGTGAGGGGAACAGTCCCTGTTCCTTGCTGCCCAGGGTGAGCACAGGCAACCAGAGGGGCACATGCTCAGTCTGGAATGGCAAGGGCTTGCCCTGCTGCTGCTGCAGAGCACTGCAGTGTTGGAAGAAAGTGAATGCTGCACTGGCTCCCTGCCACCCTGCACTCATGGCTCTCCAGCCATCGCCATCAGAGATGCAGGGAGCTGAAAGGAGCCGATCGGTCTGCAGTGATCCTCGCCACATGAGACACATGCACATGCTCTACATGCACACACACATGCACATATGCACATACACACATATAAATGCCTCAGACAGAAACACAAACATGATTTAGGAACATACAGACTTACAAACACACACATACATAATCTCTCTGGGAAAGAACTCACACATGCTTTCATAACAGAGACACGTCTGAAGACACACATGCATGCACTGAGAACAGAGGCAAAAGGTCACATACAAAGCTCTTCCTTCCCTCCCCCCTACACAGAGTACTGGTACATATACACATACACTCCCATGGCATATGCACACTTGCATGACACACATGCACTATCAGACCAGATCACAGACTGTGAAACAGTGATGGTAAATCTCTATCACCTGCACTGCTTACATATGAGCAAGCCAAGACGGACAATACACTGCAGGGATGGAACCTCTTCCCAGATGGCAACTAGATGAAAAGGCTCTTTCCCAGCACTAGTTTCTTGCTGCTGAGGCTGGTCTAGAGAGATGGGTTTGAACCAAACCCCACAACGCACAGAGAACTGAACTGCTTACATAGGAGAGGGTATTCGGATCCAGGTTCAGATCCCAACCTGTCACCAGTGCACATATGAATACACACACCCACACACACACACGAAGCGGGTGGCCTGCACAGAGCAAAAATACCCACTCATAACCATGGGGCAGCCCTTCCCACCCTCCTTCACTCTGTCTATACCTGGGATCCCAAACCCCTGACCGTTGGATTTGTGCTATCAGAAAACATAGCCCTTTGCACCTCATCTATTCTGTCTAATCCAGAGTTGCCCACCCTTTTGCCCCATGGGCTAGATGGGCAGTATCAAAACCATCTGTGGGATAAATCTGGCCAGGGGGTTTGATCCAGTACATGAGGCCAGTACAGCAGGGGCCCTATCTGGCCATGGAGGGGTATGCAGCCTGACCCTGATCCATCTGCTTGGAAACTGTGCCTGTAGCATGGGGAGTGGGTTGGCCAAGATCCAGACATAAGGCAGAGTGACCCCAATCAGGAGGCAGGGGGACAGAGGTGGAGCATCCCAGTTCTGATCTGGACAGGTAGGGTAGGTTGAGGGGTGGCAGGCAGCAGCTCAGCCTGATCCAGATAGGCAGGGTCTGGGCCTGGCCCTCATCCCACTTTGCAGCAGTGGCCCAGGTGGGGCTGGATCCAGCTGCACGGAGCTTTCACCACTCCCCTGCCACCAAATCTTCTGACCTGTGGGAATCCCCACGGGCTGGTTGCCATGGCTCTGCAGGCTGGATTTGGCCTATTGGCCAGAGGTTGAGCACTCCTGTTCTAATCTATCCTTTCCTACCTGTCTCAGGCATTTCCAAGGCCTTTAACCGCAGTACCTAAGCACCACACATAGTTGAAGCAATTTCTGACCCTAAGTATCTTTCCTTCCCTCTCCATCTTCCTTTGGCTGCCAGTTGTTTCTACCAGTGTTTTTAGGGACTTTGTTGCCTAGGACGCTCTTTACGCAAGAGGTTTCAGACCGGTTGGGATTCCATCTGCCCCTGTCCACTAATGAGGCCAGCTCCACCTGCTTCTCCCTCGTATTGAGTCCTAGCTGGAGTTTCTTTCAGTTCAATGAAGCACAGCTGCTTCAGGCTCAGGGGCAGCACCATACCATCCTTTCCAAAGCCTGCAAGTTAGCACCGGTACTTTGAATCAGTAGCTCAGAGGTGGGGAGAGAACCCAGGCAATTGGCATCACATGGGCATGTTTGCTGTGTTGGCCTTTATTCCTTGGGAGATGCTGTCCCAACTGCTGCTTACAGGGGATGGTTTAAGTGCAAGCCCAGGAAGAGGATGATGCAGTAACTCATCCTGAAGGTGGTGGATCATGGGAAATGGTCCCTTTTCTGAAAGCCTCTGTCTTTTCAGTGTAGATACTGTTCCTCACCCCACAGCAACTTATGCACCCTGATGTGGTGAGTGGTGGTAGCAGGAGCCCTAGGCACTGTGGCAGTGGGATGATATGTGGTCTGGTACCATCAGCTGAAAGCCCAGTGAGAGTTCAGTTAAGTTCCTCAAAGCACTGGCCACACCCAGCCTGCACCACTTCTTAGCTTACTTAGGAGAAGGATGCTCTTCATTTAGTCAATCATTTCATCCAGGTTACAGGGATCTTGGGATGTGATGGCAGACTGGCTCTAGAAGCATGAGTGCTGAATGCTGCCACCAGTCGACCCAGCTTTAAGATGGTACCTGGACAGCAAGGCTGGGGAGTCTGAGGTGGTCAGGTGTGCTGTTGGCTACAGAAACAGGCATGTCTTAACCATGTTAGCCTGATGGGATGCCAGGTGTGGTTCGATCTTGATTTGCTTAATGGGGCATCTTGGTGCCCGTGGATAATGCAGTAGTGGAGGAGGAGACAGAGGGATGGGTACCATTTGTACCCTATGGTGACTCAGACTCCTGAAGGCTTGCCTCTACATGGACCAGGGAAAATATTGAGCCTTGCAGTACCCTGTGCCATAAGTCTCTGAGGGTGGATGTAGAGGGGTCCATCCTACCCTACTAGGATCTGACAGCAATGAGCCTGCAGCTGTCCAGCTTATGCCGCCTGGGTCCCTTATGTTTGAGATCTGAACTGTCTGAGCAATGGCATCAAAAGTCACTGAGGCTCTAGCAGCACCAGCACAAGGGGGTCCCCCTTGGCTGAGGCCACAGGGAGAACGGCCACCAGCCCCTGCCTGGCTGTCTCTGATCCAAAACCTGCCTCAGAGGATCCCATGATACTACACAGTGAGAAGTGTTACTGCATCACCACACCTCTGTCTTCACAATA